GTGTATCAGAATCTATCTCTTATATATTAAATATTCGTTATTTATCGAGATTAATGATAAAATTTATTTAAATGTTTTATTCCTTAACAAATTAAACTAAAAAGTCATTTTGGAACTTACAAATTTGTTAAAGATAACAAAATCATGTTTTCCATCAAAGACAAGGATAAAAATCCTTGAAATCATGAAGAAAAATTAATAAAGGCGCTATTTGTTGCTCTATGCAAACATTATTTCTACAAGTTCTGTTTAGTATAAAAAGATGATAAGTAACTTCCTTAGTTTGATAAGAGATACTATTTGATGAAATATATTTAATGTTTACATTAAACGAGTGAATGGTTAACTCTCATTATAAGGAAAGATGTTGAAGATAGACAAAACAAATTTGTAAGTTGGACTCAAAGTGTTACAACAATTATCTTCTCCAAAACTACTATATAAAAAGATTCGAAACTCAAAAAAAAGAAAATTAAAAATACACATGTACAAAAATATACATGAAGCATAGTTTATAAATTATACTTGTGTATAAACTTTATTCTTTTTTGTAAAAATCTTAGTGTACTATATTGATTGTATAACATAAGACAAAAACAACATCTTTGTAATCTATATAACTATTATTATAATGTTAAGCCTAGAGAAACTTGCATGTATAGCAATACTTAGTTGAGCCCAGAAGAACTTGTTTGAAAAAAATACTTGTTAAATTTGGAGAGATTTGTTATGAAAATAATACTTTAATAGTTGTTTGAAGAGACAAGTCAAAAAATATTTAGAATTGAGTCAAGAGTGGCTTGTTGAGCTAAATATTGAGCTTGATAAATAAATGACTCGAACTTAAGTTACATATAGTTCAACTTGTTTGATTCATGAATTAGCTCGATATGTAAATATATAATTTATATAATTAACTTTTTATTTAATGTTAGCCTATTAAAATTTGAAAGAACCCTCAAAACTTAATTATAAGTTAATAAAAATGAAAGAATTGAACACTTTAGAATTTCATAATTATTGATTCTGTTTTCTATTATTTTATGTAAGGTGGAGTAACTTGTATTTATTCAAACTTTAATTATAAGTATGTTTTTTTTTTAAGTCATACATTGTAACCTTGCAAAACTAATAGAATAATTATATTTTGTCTTCTAAAAAAATAAGCAATCTTTTAATCTAAAGTACATTATTAAATTAAAAATTTGAAATTATAAGATTAAAAAGAAATTACTCTTGATTCATGTGATTCGAGCTAACGAGTTAGAGTTGAGTCGGCTTCGAGTCAGAAAAATAAATTCATGTCAAAGTCGAGTCAAACTACGAGTTAGACCAAAATATTATTGAGTTGAGCTAAACTCGACCCGTCTTAGTTCGACTCATTTTCAACCCTAAATGTGTGTATAAATAATGGTGACTTTTAGGAGATATATAAAAACTCTTGTACTATTTTTAAATGTAGATCATGGAAATTATATAAATATGTGTGTATAAATAATGGTGGCTCTTTTAGGAGATGAGAAACTCCCATACTATTTTAAAATGTAGATTATGAAACTTATATAAATATGAACATCGTTTACACACACTTACACACACATATATATTCTTTAATAATTTTACTTTTAACGATGTTAGACTTAAATTTGTCTCGACGCATCATAAATTTGTAAATTTTCAACTATAAAGCAAACAAGTCGTTCGATCAATCTTCAATAAAACGATCAAGCAATAAATTAAATTAATTTTAGGTTTAAATATATTTTTAGTCCTTCAAATTTGAGATACATTTATTTTTATTCTTATAAATTTAAAATCGATCTTTATAGTCCATATAATTTAAAAAAAATTATTTTAATTTTTATATTCAAATTTTGTTGAAAAATTTGTTAAATAATGTCACATAATATTTATATGTTGAAGTTCCTATTAATAATAACATCCATTAAACTTGGTTGATGATGCATAAATATTTCAATCTGTTACTTTTAGATATATTATTGATGATCTGAGAGATTAAAATAATTTTTTAAAAATTATAAAAATTTAAAATAACACATTTGAATTTAAAAAGCCAAAACAAAATTTACTCTAAATTTAAAAAACAAAAAATATATTTCACACTTAATTTTAAAATTCAACTAATGCATGCTGCCCACTTTATTCTATATCCATTGAAAACATAGGTTAAATAGAAGTGTTGCATGGAATAGTGGTGAAGGTTCCAAGAAAAATGGTGGCCAATAAGTTGCCAAGTTCAATTTGTCTTTTTGTTTTAGAGACCTTTTTTAATGTACGGTCAGTTTTTCACTTGCAAGTCTCATCTGACACAAGAAAAAGAGCATTCTTTCATTATCGAATCGATTCGCAATTTCCTACGTTGCCATCTCTAATTGGTGTAACGCTAGTGGACGCTTTCTATCAAAAGCGTTACGCTATGCCCCTTCCCAAATTCAATAATCAACTAAATATTAAAATATTTTTTATTTAATAATACTGCTTTTAGCATTAATATTATTAAATAAACTAGTTTATATATAATTAAAATACTTATTTTGAAACTATTAGAATCAGCTTAATAATAAAAATTTAAATAATATTTATACAATTTTAAATTTAAATCTTAGTGTTATTCTTATAATTTTGATGGATAAAAAAACTATTTTAAACATTATTTTTTAAAAAAATTATTCTTCAACTAAGAAAAAAAACTATTTTAAACACAATTTAAAAAAAAATTATTCTTCAAATAAGAAAATTTTTAGCTAATTTTTTTGACAAAATTAATTATAGACATTATTTTATAAAGTTTTAAATTAAATTTAAATATTTTAAATTTTTTTAACAATTAAAAATAACTTCATATTACAATTAAAATATTTATTATAATTCTAAAATATAAATTTTATTTTCAAATTTTTTACATGTTATGGATTTTAATTATATGTAATTTAAATATTCAAAATATTTTATTATTATAAATTATAACTATATAAAATTAATATTTATCTTATATATTACAAGTGCTAAAATACTAATTTATTAAAATTTTAAAAAATATGAACCTCTTATCTCATTTATTTATTTAAGAATCGTCGCTCATAATTTTTAATATGCTAAATACGATTTATTTATATTCAATTGGACATCAAATTTGCTTATATTTGATTGAAAAAACTTTTAATCTGTTTTCTAATGTCTTTATTACTTACTTTTTATTTCATGAATATGATTTTAAGAAAATTAACTTGCAAAAATATATTTTTATTAAACCAAAAATCTCAATTTTCAATACCGTAAATGTATTCTTAATAAACCAAGAATCTCAATTTTGAATATCCTTTTTGCTGGGAAGCTTACTCTTGTAATTGTTGTGATATTCCGTTTTTCATGTTTTTTTTTTTAAGTTTTGTTATTGATTTTGATATAATTTTTCTATTGTTCTATTTTTTTTTATTATATATTATTTTTTATTATGCCGTAAATAATTGATAGATTTTAAAGTATCAACCTTGTTAGGATGATTGATAGATTTTAAAGTATCAACCTTGTTAGGATGTTAAATAACTTTAAATTAAAAAATATTATAAATATATTATATATTTTTAAAGAGAATTTTAATATTTATAATAATAATATATTATTATTATTATATCCAAATTTAACTTTCAACAAACTTGTATTCCTAATCCAATCAATGAAAAACAAAGTCATATTTTAAAAAACTTAGGATTTGTTCTAACTTTAGATTCTCGGATCCAACTTATCTAAATTTTTGTGTATGTAAAAAAAATTTGTCTCCTATTAAATATATATGATCTCTAAAAAAAATTAAAATATAATGTAAAACTTTATTCCTTTTATTCTTAATGTAAACACTTTTAAAATTAAAAAAAAATGCACATATGCATGCAAATATGTTTCAGCGGATTGAAATCCAACTTTGATTAAAAATCAATTGTGATTAAAAAATTATTACTATATTTTTAAAAAAAGAATTATGAAAATCAGTACAATTACACAAAGTCAATAAATTAGTAATAATTATTATTTTTGTTGTGGCAACAGGACTCATGTTACTGTCGTAGTACAGAGAAACAAAGTGTTGGTGAAAGATGAGAAGGGAAGACCCATTTTATGTATTACCCTTACGTAAGGAGCGTATATCGTAGTTGTTTGTAGGAATATTTTGGGTTTTTGCATATTCATTTTCTGCGAAGCAACGCCACCCCGATTGTATTGTATTTGTATACGTTCCTTGTTTTCTTCGTGTCCAAGCCCTGAAACAAGCACACCAAGGTACTCTTCCCATGTCTCTACATTTACCATTTCTTTCTTCAATTTCGCTATCATCACGAAAACGTTCACGCTTGCTGCTCCGTCATCTTTGGTTTTCACTTTTCAACGTTCTTGCAAAACTGTCTTCTTCTCTTGTGGTAAAAAAAAAAAACAGTTTCTTGTTCGTGTTCATGTGTTGCGTGTGTGTGTGTTCTTTGGTTTGGGTCTTTTATTTTTTATTTATTATTATTTTTTTCATCTACTTCCAACCCATTTCTCTCCTCTAGCCTCTCTCTCCAACTTTGCTTGAATTTTTTTATTTTTTATTTTTTTTTTTGTTTCTGAAAACTGAGTAGTACTTAGCAGTAGCAGTCCCGGTGAGGTAAAAAATTGATTTTTCTTACTCTGTTGGATATGTTGTATCATATTTCCTTTTTCCCTTGACCTCCTACATGTATCATATTTTTAGTTCTGTTTTTTAGTAAATTTCGTGTATTTTAAATTATTTTTATTCTGTTGGATGCTCATTTTATATTTTACATTGTTCTTTTAGTGAAAAAAAGGGGATTTGTTGTATTATATTAGTTTGTTTTGGTGAGTTTGCATGTATTAATTACGCTTAGCATATTTTTGTTGGAGTCAGATGGCACATGTCTTTTACATGAGATAGTCCTGTTTGAGCCGGCCAGGACCACTGTAAGCAGAGATGTTTTACCGACAAGTTTAGAATTTGGTTCAAGTAGGATTGCTTTCTGCGGAAAATACATGTGATCTTCACAGTTTGAACGAGATTGTTTTGTGTGGAGGATACATGTGATCTTGTACCAAAAAACATAATGCTAAGCTTGGAATTTGGTTCTGCATAGTTCATGTTGTTGATAAATATTTCCAGATTATAGGCCTGTTTAGTGTTTAGTGTTTACATTGATTTATAATGTTAAAGACGGTTGTGTCTTGTGCCCTTGTTGACTTCGTTATATCGCTGTTTCTTTACCTGGTGTTGCAATGTTGCTACTGTTTTCATTTGATTGCATTTTCCTCTCAATGGAAACTGTTCATTTTTCGACTAATTGTGGCAGCAAATGTGTAAAACGCCTAATGAAGTGAAGGCTTCTTCTTGTTTGAAGGTTTTCTTTAATTTAATGTCTTTCTGCTTTTCGTACAGTGACATTGAAATGGAAAATTGTATTCCTGCT